ACACACACACACACACACACACACACACACACACACACACACACACACACACACCTGAGACACACAGTTGGGTACCTTATAAATGATGCAGAGTCCATATATAAAAAAATACCTGCATATAAATCTGTGTCGAACCCCTACCTGCAGGAGATCCTTGGGTTTTAATCTTCATTTATCCTTCAATATACATTGCATCACATTAATTTTTCTTCATTTTTTTTTAGATTAAAATGGAAAAAAAAACATCCTCTGACAAGAATGTATTCATTAGTTGAGATCAAGTTTCACAGCTGTACCATGTGTCATCTTTTTAAAAAAAGAGATTTTTGGAAATATTAGGCACTTTGTGTTTTGCATATTTTACAACATGAAGTCAAACACACTCAGTCTGCTGTTAAAGTGGAAGAAATTGATTTAATTGGTGTTAAATATTTAATAACAAGGTAAATAAATCTCATCAGATTATTAATTTTTTGGAAGATTTGCAATGACATTTGAAATTTAGCTCAAATTTTGATGGGTTTTGAATAACTCCCGATCTGATTTTTACATAAACCCCCTCCCACTATGAATCTATCTGCCACTCCTAMTACACATTTTACCACTGTCTTGCTKTACTTGCTGTACYACCTGCACTATCCAACCACACTTATTATCTACATTAGATTTCCTCATAGAGTGGTAGAAAGAACCCAAACACATGCAAACAAGAGTCTTGCCAAAACTGTTATAGTCCAAAAAAGGAAATAGAATATACACAAGTAAGCACAAATAACTGATAAAAACAACTTAAAACAGAAGGATAAACACCAGGGAGGCAATAACTTATAGAGAACAGGTGGGCTGATCACAAATGGTGTGCATCATGGCAGCACAGTTGCTTCACAGCATGAAAGTCACAGGTTCACCACCCAGCATTTTTGTGTGAAATTTGCATGTTCTTCCTGTGCACATGTGGGTTTTCTCCAGGGACACTGATTTCTCCCACATGAAAACATGCGCGATATGTTCATTGGTAACTCTAAATTATCCCTAATTGTGAGAGTGAATTGTTGTATCTCTATGAAGCCCTGTGATGGACTCGCGACCTGTTCAGGTTGTACCCCTCACCTCCTGCACAGTGACTGCTGGAGATATGCACCAGGAACCCGGAAAGGAGACAGTGCAGCAAAYGGATGGAGGTATGACAGCAGGAGTTGGAACAGAAAGCCAAAAACATCCGGAGACTAAAGTTACAACAGCAAAACGTAACGCAAAATTATACTCAAACTTACAATAGCTGTGTTTCCATTCACGTTTTTTATGCGCATCTTTAAAAACTGCATTAGAAAAGGTTGATGGAAGTGACAAAATAAAAATCTCAATTTTGCAAAAATGTTTTTTTTTACGCTTGCTTGAGTTGGTTTTTGGATTTTCTGAAAAAGATTAAAAGCGCAACTGGAAACACGTTTGCCGAATAAGTTCTGACGTAGCAAACATTACCTCACATGATCAGTCGCTGTCGGCTTCTTCCAGGATATTCCCATAAGAACTGCAGTTCTTCTCTACGTCACCAAACAGCATAGCAGCATCGTCAATATTAGTTGAAATTACAGAACAATTCAAATTTGCCCGATAGCAACTATTGTCTATTGTCTCAAGTGTGGTCATGGCTTTGCAACCTCTACTTCCTGTTTATTACAGTCATGCATAATGTCAATGTTTGACAAAATTACGCTTTGCSTAGCCTGGTTGATTCACACCAAACCAGTAGATGGAGCATGCCTAATTTGATTTTCTTTTTATTTGACATTTAAAAGTTCACTCAAATGTTGAATTACAGTTGGATGGTACGGAGCCCACAAGGTGACAAGGGAGGATTTCTTCCTTTTGCATTCCCACGCAATTCTGTTGCATWACATCGCAAAAGCTGTTTATTACKGTTGTGCCTGCTGCTTAATTAACAAATTCACATGCTCGCCAKTATACRAGTTAGCTTACTACTTTAGTGCAGCTTCGGTATGAMTGTATCACAGCCACGCATGGACGTCTGCAATATTTAAATATTATAACTCTATCGTGCAGCCATACAATACTTGTGTRCAACACATCCTGTTTCACTAACCAGATATTTCCAAATACAGTTCATACAAAACRTTAAACTTTTGCGAGGGAACACAAATCAATTTTGCGAGAGAATGCAAATGTTTGCATGGGAATGCAAAAAGTAATGCGAGGTAATGAAAAAGTATTGTGTGGGAATGCAAAATAATAATAACCTCTCCATGTCCCTTCGTGTGCACCGTAGATGGAAACATGGCCAATGAAACACAAGAAAAAATAAAGGGKTTCAATGAAACTCTAAAAACCAAGGCAAGGATTCAAACTGCAGGTAGTGTGAATTCTCCAAAATCATTTTCCAGTTATTTTGATCATAATTCTCAGTTATTGTTTTTTTTTTTTTTAGTTTTGAAATAAATTCAAAGCTGGAGCTGAAGTGTTGTACAATATAGCGCAGTAAGTGCAAAGTAACCAATCACATTTCTTTTTAGAGCCTCTGTATGTCTGGTGCATAATAAGAGACTTTTATACCTCACCGTTTGCTAAGGTTAGACATTTGTACACCTGTGTTTTATTTTAACACACAACCCATCTGATTCTACCTCCACAGAAATGCATGTATTTGTTTTGTTGCAAACAAGTGAAAGATGCATACACAAGAAGAGGCCTGCTGAAAAGTCTTTTTTCCTTACACTTATACACACACACACACACACACACACACATACACACACGAACGCAGACAAAGCAGCCCTAAGCCTACCTCTGCCGTCACAGACAGGACCTGGCCTGTCTGTGTGACACGCACAGTTTGTTTGGTAGTTTTAATTTGACAGGGCTCTGAATAGAGCCTCTGAAACACATACACACACTCACACACACTCAGACACCTTTAATTTGACAGCGCTCTAACAAGAGCCTGCTGCTTGTCAAATGTTCTCCAGTGGCAGCAGGGATCCGCAGAGCCGATGGGGGTTCTGTTCAAGGACATCTGTGAAGAAACGCACACACACACACACATGCACACACTCCTGCGCCACCACACACTCTCTTTGAATAGGCTGAGAGGGGCAGGCTGGCGCACTGCACGGTGGGAGAGAGGCAGCACACACGCTGAGGGGCTTCCACACTGCTGTTCCTCTCACTTTCCATCTTCCGCTCTCTGTGTCTTTTTTTTTCTCGTTATCTAACATTCCATCGCTTTTTTTGCCGCTTTTGGTCTTAAGTAGAGGRCTGAGGGACTGAGATAGACCAGGGGAGATTTTGATGGCGGCTCTGGTCGAAACAAGCCGATTCCCCCCCACCCACCACCACCCCTCTCTCAAACTGTACCCTCACACACACACATCCGTTTTCTCTTCGTTCTTCACTCCAAACACCATGAGGCCTTTTAAAGTTACTCAAAGGCGGATTGGACTTTGGTCCAAATCCTCTGGATTTCATCCCATTGAAGGCCGTTCGTGTGCACTTGTGACACATTTACTTTTGTGTGTCTCAGATGTGGCGTCCATGGGACACTTTGCTCATTAGAAGGAAGAGAGTTTGACTTGAGTGACTTCTCGTTGGCGCTACTTCATCACAAGGATGGTCCTGTGGAGCGAGAGAGAGGAAAMACAGTCAAATGAATACAAAAAACTAACAACAAATAAAAAGAAGAAAATTAGAGGTACGCAAGCTGCCGCAACTGCGTGAAAAGGTCATTTCAAATGGAAATGAAAAATAGCATCATTTTAATCTTTGTTCACCTAAATCACAGTATGTCAGACGTAAAATCAAAATGTCAAACATTTGACAAAACCAGTCTGAAATCACCAGAGAGGCAGGCGCAGAGATTATCCATCAGATCGTATCTCTGAGTCTTACCTGTGTGTGTTCCTGTCAGATAAAATGTGCATCCTCCTCCAATGATCTAGAAAAGGGTTCACATATCCAAAAATGTCAACATGTACATATATTAAAAAAAAGAAACAACAACAAATAAAACCTCTTCAATTCTCAGTGACATTAAACCAAGGGGAAAAACTGTTGCTACAAATAAATAAAATTTTGAAGACAAAGTTCAGATTTTTGGGGACTTTTGCATGATATCCAGCGAGTGCAGGAGGCATCAAACTGTTTGAAGTTGCAGATTGTATTTTATTATTTGATAAACCCAACTCTTGGTGTGGATCTGCACCAAGGATGGTTGCAGGGCTTGTGATGACGGGATTATTTGAATCAGGTAAATCACAGCTAAAAGTCATTGTGTAAAGACAAGGTCTATGAAATGATCAGCCCAATAGTAGAGAACACAGACGATATGTTACCACATTGCCAAGTGCTACCACTTAATACCATTAATCTTGGAGCCCCCCCACCCACCACCATCTCCCTTTCTCTATCTCCGCGTTGAAGAGCTCAGCGTCCTCTAAAAGTATGGATCTCGACCGCAGCCATTTTACGCAGAAGAGGGAAAGGCTAAAGAGAAAGCACTGACCCCTCTTCGCCGCAATTTTCCCCTCATCAACTCGTGAGACTTCATTAACTTCCATGGTGTAATTTCTTCTTTCAGTGCTTTYCTGAAAAGGGAAGAGGAGGGGAAGGTGGGGGGGAGACGACTTGTGTCATTTTTCTTCTCACCCACTCTTCATAATTCTTGTCTTTTCTCCATCCGTTAACTGAAAACACCTTCTTTCAGTCCCCGAACGTGTCGTTTTCTCCCTCCTGAGAGCCTGCAGGGTCGGAGAACTGGCTTGAAAAACAGGAACGTGGTCCAGATGYAGAAGTCTTTTGTTTGTGGACCAGTGTAGCACCACTGTTTGTATAAAAACCAAAAGCAAACGAGTTTACAATCTTCATCCCTCAGGACCCACTGATAAGAACCCTGAACACAGACATAATAGTCTTGATGTGAAGTTAAGGCCACAAGTAGGACTTTAGCAGGAACTGTGATCCAATGCTGCCCTCTACAGGAGAAATGATGTTACTGTATGAAAAGAAGCACACGAAGATTTGCAGTTTTCATGAGGAGAATCAAAACTAAGACGAAAACTTAAATGACTGTTTAATAAAAGTACTAAACCAATAACAAGACATTTTTTAATTATTAAGGAAATGTCAATTTATTGACAGCTTCTGGTGAGGAGTAATTCATAGTGATGTTTTTTGTTTTGTAAAGAAATGAGTGTGCCTTTCTGAAAATCTAATCATATAAAAAAAAATCTGTTCACATCAATATTCTGTTTTTTTTAATGTTTTTTTTTTACAAATATCCAAAATATTTATGAAG